GGGAGGGCTGTGGGAGGGTGGGTGTGGAGGGAGGGAGAAGGGGGCTGAGGGGTATTATGTTTAGTGCACATGGTGTGGGGGCTCACGGGGAGAACAGTGTAGCACAGAGAAGGCACATAGTGGATCTCTGGCATCTACTACACTGATGGACAGTGACTGTATTGGGGTTTGGGTGGGGACTTGATAATATGGGCAAATGTAGTAACCACATTGTTTTTTCATGTGAAACCTTCATAAGAGTGTGTATCAATAGTACCTTAACACAGAAATTTTTTTAAATGTTGATACATTTATCTAATTTTTTTGAATTGTTTTTTTTTCAAGTGCTTCAAAATGTTTCCATGAAATTAAAAAGGACAAACATACAACACATCTGTATTTCTACCACCTCAAGGCAACAGTTGTTCCCTCCCTGCCCTTGCCTGTTTCCTGTGAAGACTGTACTGCAGCCTTGCAAGCAGGTGGAAATAGAAGTGGCCCTTGACCTTAGGCATGTTACTTAATCTCTCTGTGCCTCAGTTTCTTCATCCAAAAAATAAGGGTATGGCAATTATTGCTTCTTACGGTTCTTGTGCAAATTACATAAGTGGGCATTTATAAAGCACTTGAAAAGGCTTGGCACTTAGTGTACATTTATTAAATAAGATGAGTGAATAAATAGGAAGGAAATGCACCCAGAATCCTGCCATCATGGCACAAAGAGGCAGCTGTGGAAGTCTGTCTCTAGATTTGGAAGCTCAGAGTTTCAGCCCTGACTCTGCCCTTGCTACTCATGTAACCAGGAGCATGTGAGTGGCTTTTCCAAACCTCAGTATCTCCCTCTATAAAATGGTTCTGTGATCTGGACCCCATGGTGCCGTGGTATGGAGGGGTAATGGATGTGCGTGGAGTCAGTGAGTGCCATATACCGCTGCAACCCAGCTACCCCTTCGTCCATTTTCTGTTTCGTGCTCAGTATTGTTAGGTAAACATTGCTTGATGTCACTACCATGCTCTGTGTTTATCATTTTTAGTGGCTGTGTAATATTCCATTGAGCAGAGGTGTCATGTACTTTGTTGTCTCTACTGTGGGACGTTTAGGTGTCTTACTGCTGTAAATGATCCTTCAGTGAGCAGCTCTGTGCCCAGAGCACTTTGCCTCTCATGGACTATTTCCCCAGGCAGCCTCAGGGACATTGAGGTTGCTTTGCCGGGACAGCTGAGGGACAGGCCAGCAGTGGTGGCTGGGGGAGGTAGGTCTCTTTAAAGGTGGCTGATGCCCTCCCTGCCCCAGGAGCAACAGCGTGGGTCATGGGGCAGCAAGACCCTCAGCGTGACAGCCCTGGACGTGATGGGAGAACATGAGGCCACCACAGGATGGGTGGTGGGTGCTGTGGAGAGTTGGGACTAGCTGTTGGAGGGACTAGGGTCTGGTTTTGCCTTTGCCACTCCCGCTGTGTGACCTTGGGCAATTCCCTTCCCCTCTCTGAACTTCACTTGTCTCTGTGTCCTGTGGCCAGGGGCTGGGCAAGCGTTGGTGCAGAGCTGTGCTGCCTACTACGGTAGCCGCCAGTCACATGTGGCTGCAGGTGGGGGAGCCTGCGGAGGACTCACTGCCCTCTGCCCAGCCCGGAACACTCCTACTCATTCCCCTGGGTTAAGCACTGTCCTCCCCCGGGAGTCTTCTCGAAGTCTAGAGCAGAGACCAAAGAAGAGGGCTGCCCGGGCCCTAAGCCTGGCTCTGGGCACCCAGGGGGAAGGGAGCGGCGAGAAGCGAGTCCGCAGTCCTAGGGCTGAAGCTCCCTGCTTCCCCTGCCGTCCGCCAGACACAACGCTCTGACCGCGGCTCACGGATTCCAGCCACGTCTGCCCCGGAGCCCTCCCTTCTCTTCGGAGGGCAGGCTTTTTGTAGAAGCTTTCTGCAGCCTGGGGGTACCCCAGGGGACGGACGACCTGCGGGAGGGGGCAGTAAATGGGGGTGATAAGATGCGAGTGTGAAGAAGTGGAGACAAACTTGGCTAACGTTGCTCTCACCTTTGCCAAGGTGTGGCCACTGCCGGCCGTGCCCCGTGCCCCCTAATGCCCCTCTGTTTCCCACATGAACTCTTGTTTCTCCTATTTTCTAGGGGTCCCACGGCCATGTCCTGGCTGCCTTGAGTCTGTGGGGCGACCCACCTCCTGCCTGTATCTCGGGGCTGTGGCCCTGTCCAGCCCCGGACCTGCTCCCAAGCCTGCTCCTCACCCCCGCCGGGGCTAAAGGGACTCCTCAAGCTTTGGGACTCAGCGGGGCACAGTAGCGGTCACGGTAGGTGGCATCCCTCCCCTGCCCACTCCCTGGCTCCTGGGGACCCCTGAGCCTTCTTGGTCCTCCTGAACACTGTATCCGTCACAATCCCTTTGGTTACAAATAGCGAAAAACCTATTTCAGTAAAATGAAATGACCAGTTCATGTAACTGAAGTGTCCAGAGGTAGGTTGGGCTTCAGGCAGGGCTTGGTCCGCTGGCTCAAACAGTGTGACCAGGGCCTGTTTCCTGTCTCCTCTTCCTTGGTGAGAGCTCTGCTCCTGCTGGCGTTTCATATAGATAATATGGCCATAGGATGTTTGTCAGCAGTTCCTGGGGCAACGTGCTTCCAAATTTAAATCTGGGGTTGGGAGTGGAGACAAAATCTGCTTTCCTGGTAGAACAAGCAGAAGTCCTGCCGAAGGTCTCTCGGGTCCTATTGGCAGGATTTGGGTCGTCCTTATCCTTTAAGTGCGTCCACAGGGCTTGGAAAATAGAGGGTCTGTGGGTCAGAGTCTTTCCTTCCCCAGCTGTGTGACCAGGAATGAGAGAAGAGTGTTCACCAGAAGAAGCTCAGGGTTCTGCTGGCGGGAAGGAGATGCCCTCAGCCAGGGGAGGCAGATGACAAATAATTGTTATAGGTGAAGTCTGTCCAGGTTGGAGAGCTTGAAGCCAGTCCCAGACGGATATGGACATGCTGTGCGTCCTTGGGCAAGTCCTTGTTTTTCTCACCTGGCAGGGGGCCTGTGGGAACTATCTGGAATGATGTGTGGAAGCCCTGGCTCCGCGCTCAGTAAATCCTTATTCTCTTCCCCTTCCCTCCCAGGGGGTTTGAGACCTCCCCGTTTTCTTCAGACTTGAAAGGAGATGCAGAGAGTATGGTCAGTCAGGATCCCCAGAAGCAGAGCCTGAGAGGAGGATTTACATACATGAGGTTTAGTGAGGGTGGGTTCTCGGGAGAAGAAAGGAAGAGACTGGGGCAGGAATGACCGCCCGGGGAGGTTGTGGCCTGTGGCCTCAGGTGACGTCTAGCCTTGGGCTAGTCCAGGGGTCCCTGGAGTATAATCACACCATTGAGAAGGCCATTCTCTGGAGGAGGCGGGGCCGTGAGCTGGGCAGCCGGCACTCCCTGCAGCGGGGTGGGGGTGGGGGGTTGGGGGGTGCCCTGGCGGCAGAGGAGCTGTGGGCAGGCACCATTCAGTACAGGAAGGTAGGACCCCGTGTCCCCAGGCCGGCCAGTCCTGCAGCCCCCTGCCTGCTGCGTCCTCTGGCTTTTGCTCCCGCTGCTCCAGCCCACAGGGCCAGTTCCTCCCACCCTGGGGAGCTGGGCCGCCACGCCTGGGCTCTGGTGATGGGGGCGGCCCCCATCTCCTCCTCTGGAGAACACTTTTCTACCCCTGGTCCCTCGCCCTTCATAGTTCCTCTTTTCTCCTTAGATGCCATCTGAGGTTTGGCCATGCCGTTCCCCCGTCTGTTATGCCCTGTCTTGCTCTCTACCCTTTCCTCTTTTTCGAGGCCCATTGTAGGTCCCTCCTCCCGAAAGCACCTGCCGGCTGCCCCAGCAAGCGGTTATCTCCTTTGGCCCACCTTCCAGCGCCAGCTTTTTCACAGAAGGGAAGGCCAAGGCCCGGGGTGCTTCCATGTGCAGGCTCTGTTGGCTCCTGCGCCAGGGCCAGAGCCGTGGCCCTCTGTGTCTTTGCTGCTAGGGAGCTCATAGCTGGTTTGTGGCCCATTTCGAATAAGTGCTCAGGATGCTAGACTATGCAGTTGCTCAGTAGCCTTGCCTCTAGCTTCACCTTTCTTTTCAGCTTTCCTTCTTATTTCTTCTCTTACTTTTCACCGTGGCTGTTCTTAGCAGCCTCAAACGCTTTTACAAGTATAAATATCCAAAGGGAATAAATAACCAAGAGTGGCCTTGGTTAAAGCATTCAGTGCCGACTGTAGCCAGATACTTGGCCTTCCCCTGCCTCGGGGTAGCTGGGGCAGGGGGTCTCCCCCAGGCCTGGGGCTCAGCCTGTCCCCAGGGAGACACCAAAACCTGACCACGGCGGCCTCCTTACAGCGCCCGCCGTGCCCTCCGTGGCTCTGAAATAGCATTGTTCTGCTCTCCACCCTCTTCCCTCCCCCTCCCCATCCACCAGAAGCTAATGAAAGAGGCTGGGAAACCCAATCCTCTGGTAATTAAATTTACTTAACGGGTATTCAAGTGGAGTAATGAGAAGTTTAATGCAGTGATTAGATTTTTCTTTAATTAATTAAAATGAGAACCATGTGTCTTGCCAGCAAACCAACTTGACCCTCTGCTTGAGAGTAGAAGCCAGAGACAGTGGGGGGCTAGCTGTCTGCGCGGGCAGGGGGGCCGAGGGCTGAGTCCGGCATCCTAGCCTGGCCCTGCTGCTCTCAGAAGACGGCCCAGCTCTAGTGCTCGCGCAGGGCACTCTTTAACTGCTCACCCATTTCTGAGCCCCGTCAGGGCCAGATCTGTGCTCGACCTGAGCTGCCCACAGCTGAGGGATCCGCAGGCCCTCACACAGGCAGCTAGGAAGAGATCCTCCATGGAGGACTTCAGGCCCTGTGAAAGGAGGAGGCGTTTGGGGTATCTCATTGCAAGGGCCAGCTGCCCTGTGCACCTGCGTGCTCAGCAGACCTGGGCTTACCTCCACTGGCACTGTATCATCTGTGCTCACGGAGTGTGGGCAGTCAGGTGGGTAATCGCGAAGTCTGCAGTAACCCACAATCCACTTATGCTTAGCTTGCAAATGCAGCCACTCCAGGAAGCTGTCCATCCTCGCTGTCTCGCAAGGCCCGTTAGGAATGCAAGGACGCACTTCCCTCCTTGAGCCACTTCTGCTGGGGTCCGGTGGTGGCTGGGGCCGAGGGAACACGGGAATCCCACCATTGCTATTGGAGGGGCGCACAGGACAGGCCTTGCCAGGACAGAAGCTGGACATAGTGGAGACCTAGAAGACAGGCCCCAACATCCCAGGGGCAAAATACGTGTTTTCAAAGTAATGGGTAAGACAGGAGAGTGCTGAACCCTTCATGGGTGGGGAAGCAGAAAACTTTCTTCAGTGAGTCCTGACCCTACCCCCACACTGAGCCCTCATCCCGGACAGACTGAACCTTGACCCTGGCCCTACACTGAGCCCCGACCCCAGCCCCTCACTGAGCCTAATGTTGTCATGGATGTGCCAACAGAGAAACAGGTGCTAGGATGGGCAGGGTGAACGGTTGTTTGTCCCCCTCCACTGCCAGCTCTGTGGCCCGTGTGCAGACACCCGCTCAGGCCCCACACCAGTCTCGGGAATGGCCAAGATGAGTCAGACGGGGTCCCCACCCTCGGGGCTGGTGGGGGAGGCGGTGAACAGGCAGCTCCAGTGATCAGAGCTGGTGGAGGGAGGCCCGGAGGGCTGGCGGGCTGTGGATCTGCAGGTGGGGTGTTCCTCTGGCAGCAGGGGCGGGGGGTGGGGGGCCAATGGGGAGACTGAGATGGGGTCTCAGTGAGAGGCGAGGACAGGACCATGTGGGCAACCGGGGGGCCTGAGGTGAGTGGTTCTCCCCCAGGAACTGGCATTGACTCCCCGGCCACTCTCAGCTCCTGCTGACCCAAGGGGCTTCTCTGTAGGACAAGGTGATGGTGTGCCAGGCCCTGGGCTGGTAATGCCCCTCAAAGGGAAGCATTTCTATTTCATGGAAGAGGAAACAACCCATGCGGAGACTTGCTGAGTTCCTGTCGGCCTGAGGTGGGCTATGGGGGGGCATCTCCCCGGTCCTGCCTGCCTTGGACCTGCTCCCTGCTCTTCCACGGGGTGGACTTGCCCTGGAGGCAGGGGCCCTCCCCTTCTGACTCTGCCCGCCGGGGGGGGGACACAGCCTGGGCTGTCCTGGGAGTCTGAGGGCTCGGGCTTGGGCCAGTCAGACGGGCACCCAGGGCCTCTGGCTGCAGCTGGCATCCTGGGAGTGGGGGAAGAAAGGAGGGCCCTGGCTGGGTGGGGTCTCGCCGTGAGAAGGGCAGCCTCTGCTTCCTTCATCCCCTCTCTGCCCTCTCCAGACCCCAGCCCTGTGGATTCCAACTCCCCAGCCCCATTTTCCCCTCCTTCCATGGCACAGCCCTTTCTGAATAACCAGGCCTAGAGAAACCACCCCGCCAGCCACCACCACCCACATGGGAAATTGAAGCCCCGAAAGGGGTGGGCACTGACTCAAGATCATGTGCTCTGTCTCTCCTGTCTTTAAGGTGAAGGGCCTGAAGTCACTTATCTTGAATTTAAACACAAGCGTTGGGTTTGAAAACTCTCCCTGGGTGGGGAGGCCTCGGGGGTGGGGTGGGTGCCTGTGGCCACACAAGTCCACCCTACACAGGAAGGCGCCCTGGGAGCTGCGTGCCTCCCTCGCCACGTGCACCCCCACCCCCTGGGCTCCCAGTGCTGGGAGCCACTGTCTCATTCAATCCTCTGAACCGTCTGGGAAGCTGAGTCATTTTCTGTAGATGAGGGGACCAAGTCGGGGACTCGCCACCATCACAGTCACGTGCTCAGGTGGAGCTTGCTGGACAAGCTCAAATCCCGGCCCGGCCACTGGCTGTGATCGCCCCCTACCTACCTGCAGGCAGCACCCCCCCCAGCTCTCCCCAAGACCCCCAGCCCTGCATGCCTCCTCCCCTACCCAGGGCACTTCCCTGCTTGTTCTGCTCTGCAGCCAACACCGATGACTCTCCCCTGTGCTCCCCGCCCTTGCCCACCTCCAGGCCCTTGTTCAAGCCGTTCCAGCCCCTGGAGTTCTCCCCAACTCCGTCTGCCCAAGCCCCCCTCATCTTTCTAGGCTGGGCTCAGATGCCGCCTGCTTCCTACAGACGCCCTGTCTGCCCTCAGCCTCTTCAGAAACCGGGCTCCTCTGAGCGCCGCCCCCACAGCTCTTTGCCTGCCTGCCTCTGAGGCTCCTGGCCCCCCGTATCTGACTCTGTGGCTGTGTGGAAGGCAAGGAAGGCTGCTCACCTCTAGCTTCCCAGGCCAGTAACCCCCAGGGCCTGGCACACAGTAGGTGTGCAGGAGATAGCTGGTCCTCACCTTGAGAGGGGCTGCACCTCCACAATCCCTTTCCTCAGCAGCCCCCCATCTACTCCAGCCCCTGGAGGAGGCCAGCCTCACTGCCCGCTAGCCCTTACTGAGCTCTGACTGGTAGGGTAGGCACTGGCCTCTGGCACCAGCAGGCCTCCCTGTGCCCACTCCCGACCTGCCCAGTTTCTAGGGGCAGAAACAAGGCAGAGCCTGCCCTTGGAGGCTCATGGGCAAGCCTCAGGGCCTGGAGGTACAGGGACTGGTGTAGGTCAGTGCTGGCCGAGGGCTGGATGGGCACTCTGCCTGGCAACCCTTACTGGCTCTGCTGATTACTGGCTGTGTGAGTTTGAGCAAGTGATGTAACCTCTGCATGCCTCAGTTTCCTCATCTGTTAAGTGAGGTGGTGACAAACGTACCTAGGGGTGCAATGGGGATGAAATGAGTCACTACAGCACACAGCGCACAGCACAGCCCCAGCACAAACCTACAGGGGGTTCCCCCTGAGTGCTGGCTGTCACCGTCATCATGGGAGGGAGCACGAAGGCTGAGTGTGCTGGGGCCCTCAGAGAGAGTTTCCAGAAGGTGCTGACACTTGAGCAGCAATTTGAAAGATGAGGCACAGAAGGCAGGAAGACCACTCCAGGAAGGGAACTGCACAAAAACCCAGAGGCAGTTTTGGGGGGCATGCATGGCAGCTGGGTGTGTGAGAACAGGTGCAGGGAGACCCCAGGCTGGTGTCTCACAAGGGCTGTGTCCTGTGTCCTGAGGGACCTTGCATGCCGCATTGAGGAGGATGGGCTTTGTCCTGCAGCCTGTGAGGGGCCATGGAATGGGGCTTTTTTTTTTAACCATGAAAGTAATATTTGCTCATGCAAAAACATGGAAACAACATAGATATGTGTCCTGTTAAGTATGAAAGGTCCTTCTTTGCCCTTTTCTGCCAAGGTTCCACCTCCGGTATGCCTCCTTACAGAAGTTTTGCTGTACCTTAAAAACATATTCATTGTATGTTACTTAAAAAAAATAAAGAAATGGAATCATGTTATACACATTACTCTGCCACTTCCATTTTTTATTTGCCAGTGTACTGTGGGCATCTGTCAGTGTCATGGCATACAGATCAACTGTGTTCTTTTTAATCGTTGACTAATATTCCGTTGTTTGGCTGTAGCATAATTTATGTAACTAGTCCTGGGTTGATGGATATTTAGGTTGTCTTCAGTTTTTCACTCTTGCAGATAATGCTTCGGTGAAGATCCTTGTGCATATATCTTGCTGACACATGTAAGCATTTTTGTAGGATCGATTTGTAGATGTGGAATTGCCAGGGTGAGGGGTATGTGTATCAAATTTTGATAGGTACACTGCCACACTGCTCCCCCAAAAGGTTGGGTCAGCCGACGCTCCCACCGCTGCTATCTGTGGGTGGCCATTTCCCCACACCATCCTCCACACGGGACATCATCAGGCTTTTTAATTTTTGCTAATTCAGGAAATCATTTCACTGCGGCTTCAACCCTCACCTTCCTTCTCCCCAGTGAGGTTGAGTTTTTTTTCATGCAGCTATAGGCCATTTGTATTTCCTCCTCTATGAATTCACTGTTCATATCCTTTGCCCATTTTTCTTTTCCTTCTGCCTTTTTCTTATGGATATAAAGGAGCTTTTAGTGTATTAGGAATTAAAAAATTTTTGTCTCTTATGTGTGTTGAAAATATTTTCCTTAGTCTGTCGATGATATTTTTAACTTTGTTTATGGTATCTTTGGCAATATAGAAGCTTTAGCTCTTTATTTAGTCAAATCTGTCAGACTTCTCCTCAGGGCTTCTGAGTTTCATGTCTTGCTTGGCCAGGCTTCCTGGAAGCGTTTTCCGCAGAGCAGGGATGCAGTCAGGTCTGTGACTGGGCGAGGTTGTTCTGATGGCCAGTGTGTGGAGGGCGAGCGGAGGAAGGACAGCAGACCAGAGGACAGGAACCCGCTGAGGCCTTTGTGCTGGGCTGCGGGTGGGGGAGAAGTGGGGAGGTTAGTTTGAGAAATATGCCCATGGTGATAGAATGCGAGGGAGAGAGAGGGGAGGGAAGGGACCCCAGGGTGACACCTTGGTCTGGGGGACTGTGTGGCTGATGCCACCACTGCCGTGTGCCCGGGGACAGGACTAGGAAGGGAAATGCATGCAGATGCATGTGAGGGCTCACGTTGGCAGGGACGTGTGTACGTATGAGCACATGGCTGCACACATGTGCATCCTTAGAAGGCTGGTGATTGGTGTATCTGCACTGTGGCTCCATGGCGGGGGTGCGATCTACTTTTTGTGGAGTATCTATTCTCTACCAAGTACTGTACTGTAGAAGGCATTACACACACACGCGCACACACACGCACTCGCGTGCGCGCACACACACACACACACACACGCTCTATAATCTCTACTACCATATGAAGTATGTTTCACAGGTCAGGAACCTGACTTAGAGAGGTTAAGTAAAGTACCAGCTCAAGGTCACAGAGCTAATAGGTGTCAGAAAGAGGATTTTTGCTGACAATTTAGATTTAACAACCCACAGGTAGGATTCCCACCAATGACATTGAAAAGTCTTTCACTCATTTCTAACCTGGCCAATCCAGTTTCAAGGGGACACGAGTGCCAGAGCCAGATTGTCCGGGTGTGAAGTACAACCCAAGGCAAGTCACTTCACCTTTTTGTGCCTCAGTTTCCCCACCTGGAAAATGTAGACAATAACAGTGCCCACCTCAGTTCTGGGGCTGGTGGGAATGGAATGTGCCAACACATGTAAGGTGCTCAGCCCAGTGAGGGCTCTTTGGGTGCTGACTAGGCTGACTGCCCCCCACAGTGGCAGTGGCGCTTGCTCTGCACCACAGTGGCTGTGCCCCTTGACCTTTGCCCGTCTCTCCATCCTCCCTCCACCTGGCACCTCACTCCTATGCCAGCTTTCTTTCAATTCCCCACAGGAACTTCTTTTCAACATTTGCCTTTGAACCTTTGTCTTCTTTTTTCAGCCCCCAAGCCCTTGACAGACAGACAGTGAATTAAAGCCAAAGCAGTCAGCAAAAACCATTCAGGGACTCCTCCAAGCCGTTCTGATGAGGCTCTTTCCCCAAGCCTGTGCATTCGTCCCAGCATTGCCCAGGCCTCGGAGAGCCAGACCATAACGTCCACTGCCCTGAGTGGGGCTGCCCAGGTGCGCTTAAGAGCCAGGGGTCTGAGCTGACTCCAGCCCAGCCAGCTCCACCTTAGCCAGGAGCTGTCACTGGGTCCCTGACCCCAGGACAAGTAATTCTTAACATTATCGGCCGTGGAACTTACCCGTAGGAAACGTAAGCAGAAAGCACAGCAAATTCTGGGCACAGTTCCTCCCCATGAGCACATCTAAGCAAATCCTGGGGCCAGGAGGGTGGGTGCAAGGTTTCCAAGCTGGGTTAAGACCTCAGGTCTGCACCCAACTTAAAACTTCTCAGAAAAAGGGAGAAGTCACAGGGGTGCTATTCCAGAAAACTCACTGAAATCACCAAACTCATCATACGGACTTCTCATCATTGAAATAAACTTCCAAGTAAATAAATCCTAGTGGTAAAGAATGGTGCAGTTACTACCTGTCTTTTTGTGGGATTTTGCTTTCAGTTGCACTGTTTCAGTCTCAACCCTTTGTTCTTAACCCAAAGGATGGCATAACTCACTTCAATCCTTCCCAGGGAGCAGCTACACCCAACTGCATGCCCCCCACCCCACAGCCTCTGAGAAAGGATTCTTTATGACTGCTCTTTTGGAAGACCCGGTCCCCATGTCGCCAGGGTCCCACCAAGCCTGCCTTTGTGCCCCTCTCCCAGCACACCCCATGCTCCTGCAGAGTGCCGGGCAGTGCCACCATCTCCAGCTGCCCTGGCCCGAGTTCAAAACTGGGTGCACACAGACAAGTACCGACATCAGCCATCAGCCCCCACGTGCCGGAAGCTTCTCAGTTCGCTCTTGTGATAGAGGAGCCTCTCTAATGGCCCCAAAGAAGCTGTGTTGTACCCATTTCTGTTTTCAGGAGAGGGGAACGGGAGACAGTATATCCACTGCAGCCAAATCTTACTTCTCAGCAAAAGGGAGGCGTCACAGGGGTGCTTTCAGACACGAGGCTTTCCCCTCACCACACCCGCCAGAGCCCGCTGCTCCCGTGAGCGGCTGCCTCTGCTCTCTGTTCCCTGTGTTGTCCCACAGGAGCACAGAACCTACACGGTGATAATTGCCGAAGCAAAGTGCCAATAAGTTCAAAATATAAATATACAATTAAGCTTGCAGCTTGTTGTTTCTGTCTCCAAGGCCCTGTCAGAGCTTCTGTTTCCCCTCAAGTTGTCCACCAAGGGCAGACAGACTGGGGGACCCAGAGTCTTTCTGAGAGCCGGTCCCAGACCCGAGTCAGGATAATAAAGTTCTGAAGATGCCCAACCTTTGCTCTAAGGTCAAGTCCAAGCCGTAGAATGTAGGCCAAAGCCCCAACTGTCATGGAGGTGCTGCCACTTGCCTCAGCTCACAGTGCCCTTTTCCAGGCGGGGATCGTCCTGCTGGTGGGTCCTGCTGCAGGGCCTGAAGCCTCCCCACTTCTCTGTGGATGGGTAACCCTTCAGCTTGGGGATCGAGATCATTCTGTCCCCCACTGAAATCTTAGTGATTCAGAGGCTTCCAAATGGAGCTTAGTTCTCACACCTAGAAAGTCATCCAAACACGCTCCCAAACCCAGTATAGCCACGCACCCCTGAGCGGCCAGTGCGGCCTCGTGTGGGCAAGGTTGTGCTGCATTAACAAGTTCTATCTGAACTCTGAGTGGTTTGATGCAACCAAGCTTCCCTTCCTCTTCTTTTACCATATGAACTTACATGTCAAGTCCACTGTGGGAAGTGGGTAGGTGGCAGACCCTGGTCCGTACAGTCATGCAGGTACCCACGCTGACAGAAGCCCCGCGGTCTCGTAGCCACCCTGTCTGAGCATGTGGCTACTTCATCGCAAAGAAGAGAAAATGGTAGAGTAACACACTGGCTCTTAAATGCTTTGGCCCAGCAGGGACACAGGTCACTTTTATTTACTGCCTATTGGCCAGAACTTCTCAAACGGCCTCAGGAAATGTGGGGGACGATGTGCTGGGGTGGGGAGGGCATGGAGGAAATGTGCCCAGACGTTCAGTGAGCGGCGATACTCTGTGTGCAAGGGGTTTCAGGCCATTGGACCGCTCTCAGAGCTGGAGTTACAGGAGCCGAGGCCGCGGTTTCCTGCTCCTCTCCACCTGGGTGGCCGAGGCCCGGGAGGGCCAGAGGGCCTGGGAAGGCCGGATGGGAACAGCTTTGGGGAGGAGTCCCTTTGGATAGCAAGCCCCGTGGCAGGCCTGGCTAGGCCCTCTGCCCACCAGGCAACAGGTTTGACTCAGTCTCTCCCCTCTTACCCCACTGATTGCTTTCGATACCAACACCATCCCATGAAATGCATTTCTCAGGAGGAGACACAGGATTGTGAGTGAGGATGAGTTCATGGAGGGAGATAATCCAAGAGGAAACATCCAGAAGCTGCTGTGTCTGGGTCCATTCAGGCTGTTCTAACAAAACACTAGGCACTGGGTGGCTTATAAATATCAAGCTTATTTCTCACAGTTCTGGAGGCTAGAAAGTCCAAAATCAAGGTGCCAGCAGATTTGGTGTCTAGTAAGGGCCCTCGTCCTGGTTCACAGATGGCCGTCTTTAGATGGTGTCTTCACACGGGGCAAAGGAGTTCTCTGGGATCTCTTATAAGGGCACTCGTCCCATTCATGAGGGCTCCACCCTCATCACCTAATCCCTTCCCAAAAGCCCACCGCCAAATGGGCTTTCAACATGACAGTTTTGGGAGGACACGAACATTTCATCAATGGCATACTGAATATGATGGTCTTAAGCCCAGGACAGCACCCTCGCCAGAAGAGAGAGAGCTGCACGTGGCGGGCTTCCTTCCGGGCTTTCATTCCTTCAGCAAATGTGGCTGCTCTGTGCCCCGATGTCCTGATCGTGT